TATATATCTGTATGTGTGTGTGTGTGTAATTAAAGATCTATCTATCTATCTATCTATCTGCCGTTATAGTTATTTTTTAATTAGATATATTCTGTATATACATAAGCATAAATATGTGTATATACAATAATATAATATACAAATAATAAATATACAAATATGGAAGATAAAACAAGGAGTTGTAAATAAAACAGATTATTGGTGCACATTTAACAAGAAAATGCTATTTCAGTCTTATTCTTTCTACTTCAAAATTTCATGATTATGTACGGTTTCTTTTTAATTATTTATGAAATTACTAGTAATTTCTGAGTGAAAATTACTAGTAATAAATACAAATTCTCTCTCTCTCTCTCTCTCTCTCTCTATATATATATATATATATCATATTAGAATCGCATGCATGTTTTCTGATTAGTCTGCGTTCTTAAATTATCTCGAGTCATCTCCTGTGACAAAGTTTATACTGCATCTGTGTGTTTTAAACTGGACATCTGCTCATGTGTAAAAAGCCCCAGTTGCTGTCTTCTGTATCGTAAACACTCAACATGTGATTATGGAATTTTAATAAGAGGAAATCTGTCTGGTTCTTTCTCACACACACACACACACATGCATGTCTATACTGTAATATAAACTGCCGCTTGTCCGTGTCTGGTGAATTCTGCTGAGGGCTTTCCTCATCCGATCTTGTGGAGCATAGGAGAGGCCGTGTTTGTTGCCCATTTAGGTATCTGGACCATCTGTGCACCGTGTGTGACACCTTGACCTTTGTTCTCATAAAGGTAGCGGAGCGTAACTAGGTGACCTTTTACACAGGGTCGCACTTCCAACACCTGTCATTCCGGAGAGTATAAGATCAAAGGGATTAGGATGTAATGTTCTAATGTGTCATCATGTGCCCTCTTCCTCCTGCTCCTAACAGGCTGACGCCCAGCAACCACGACCGAATCCAGCGCTTACGCCAGGAGTTCCAGCAGGTCCAGCATATCGTAAACACTCAACATGTGATTATGGAATTTTAATAAGAGGAAATCTGTCTGGTTCTTTCTCACGCACACACATGCATGTCTATACTGTAATATAAACTGCCGCTTGTCCGTGTCTGGTGAATTCTGCTGAGGGCTTTCCTCATCCGATCTTGTGGATCATAGGAGAGGCCGTGTCGGAGCGTAACTAGGTGACCTTTTACACAGGGTCGCACTTCCAACACCTGTCATTCCGGAGAGTATAAGATCAAAGGGATTAGGATGTAATGTTCTAATGTGTCATCATGTGCCCTCTTCCTCCTGCTCCTAACAGGCTGACGCCCAGCAACCACGACCGAATCCAGCGCTTACGCCAGGAGTTCCAGCAGGTCCAGCAGGAAGAGGCGGAGCCAGATGATCGCCACCGCTCCTACAGCTTGGAGCAGCCCTGGGTGAGTGTGTGAGCTGTGTATGTGCACCCATGATCACTGGACGTATGCCCCATGGTCTCTGGGAGCTCCCAGGAAGGACAAGACTAAGTCCAAGGACTGGGGCAGTTATGTATACGACCTCCAGACCTGGGCTAATGCTAACTGCTAACCTGAGACCACTGCATGCAGGAGCATGTCACCTCTGACACTGACATTATCCGCTAACAATGCTAACATCACCATGTGTTCATCCATCTGGACTGTTCACCCAACCATTCATCTGTTCAACCATATCACCGCTGCCATGACCTCAGCAGATCACGAATTAAGGCAAGAACTGTGATTGGCTGAATGTATGTGTGCAAGATGAAAGTGTGTGTGTCTGAGTTTAAAAAATCAATGTTTTTAGACTGAAATTGTTTAGTATTTAAGATATCGAATTCAAATCCAGATCATTCGAATCTGGGTTGAGTGTGAACTCAATATGATGATCTGGATTTAGGTCCATTTAAACCTCTTTTGCCTATAAAATGAAGCAGAAAGTCCTAATAAAGGGATAGTTCACCCAAAAATTACAATTCGGTCATGATTTACTCGTGTTGTTCCAAACATGCATGACTGAGATTTTTTTTTTTTTTTCTACACAGATAATTTTTTTTTCCACACAATGAAAATAATGTCTTGGACCCTATTTAAGCTTCCCTATCCTAGTACAAGCATTCCTAAAATACCTTCTTTTTTGTTCCACAGAAAAAAGTAAATGATGACGGAATATAAATTTTTTGGTAAACTATCCCTCAGGAATGAGTTGCACTTAAAGATCGTTTCAGAAGCTCTTCTGTGTGGATTGCTTTTAACATATTCATTTGTAATCATCTTTCCAGGGAGAGAGTTTCAATGAACTGTTACACACGGTGTTATGTGTATTTTCTTTAATGTAAATTTCTCTTTTTAAATTTTTCCTCCACTCAGCTTTAATGTATGGAATTATTTTTGTTGTTTCGTTTTGGAATGGTAGTGATTATGTAACTGTATTAAATGTCTTTTTCATTCCCCTTTTTCGTCCCCAAATTTTCCCTAGTCTTCAAATGTCCAAACCCCCCCATGATAAACTTAAGTCCTTTTTTTACTCTGCCTAAAAAGCTTTTTTGTTAAACAAAAGGCTACAGAATAAAGATGGGTGGTTTTGAGTCCGTTTTGTTTCTGTAGCTGAATCAAATCTAGTTCAGGTGTGCTTCAAACACGTCTGTCATTTCTTTATGGAACTTTATAAATAAATGGAAAAAAATCCACTTTTTTTCTGATCACTAACCATATTTCGTGAGTGTTTGTGTGTCAGCATTAACATCATCGGCTGTTACAAATCTCATATCGATACTGAACTCGTATCAGAACTTTAATGCCATAATCTGTTTAGCAAACAAATGGTACGTTCCTGTGACACTGATGTTGTTTTAGGCAGTGAAGTGTGTGTGCGTGTTAATGAACTGGACTAAATGACCCAGCTCCACACATCCTTCATCCTTCAACACCTCTGTCTCCACAGCAACATGGCTGGCAAGCTGTGTCAATCAATCCCAGCATGCTGTTCTCCTTCATTAGAGTTAATGGAATTCTCTGTGTGGATCGGCTCTTGATTGAGCATGCCTGGGACGGCATTCATCTGTTTGACTGAGCGTGACGAGAGCAGGGAACTCAATGTAAATGCTGCCATAAAAGAAATGGATTCTTATGGGTCATGAGCAATTTACCGCAGTTACACTGTTCTGAGTACGGAACAAAGCCGTCAGTGTGTGTGAGAGAGAGAGAGGCGGTGTTAAATGAGTCTTTTATTGTTTATAATTACACCCTTATGTTCTGTGCCGACCAAGTGTGAATGCGTGTGTGTGATTACTTAATGAATTACATTAGAGAAGTGCTTCATTATGTTACCACCGCAAATCCCCCTCACCATAAAATGAACTGATATTCACTTAATGTTCATAGCATTCACCTAACATCCAGCTAACATTAATCTAACATTCATCTAACGTCTGCTGTGTGTCCTCATTCCAGCCTCACCTTTGTGTCCATAATGTATGTTAGATATGCTTCTAGCTCAACTGGTAGAGCATGTCGCTAGCAACGCCAAGGTCATGGGTTTGATTTCCAAGGATCATATAAACTGATGAACACAAACCTTGAATGCGCTCTAAATCACTGGATCTTAGAGGAGTAAAACTAGAACCACAGGAGATGAAAAATGTGTGTGAAAAATTATAAATATTTTTTTAATGTATGTACATTTAGATATTTTTTTATACTTTTAATTGAAATTTAATTAAGTAAATGTAAATTTTAAAGCAGAAAAATCAGATATTTACCTGTACTCAAGTTTTTGTTTTCATTTGCATATTGTGCATTGGGAATTATTATCAAGCAGAATATAGAGATAAATAGTTCCTGAAATAATTGCTTGTCTTTTTAATGATGTGGTCATTTGAATGACGGGTAATAATTTTTATAATAATTATTGAGGACCATAATGTAGCTGTAATTTTGTTATGAAGAGTAATAACTAACTCCATGAATATTTTATGGGTTATAATCTACTCTAATGGTTTCATTAACAGCAGTAATGCACCAAAGGTCATAGGACTGGTAATAATGTCACATTCAAACACATTTCTGCACAAATGTCACAGACCTCTACACAAAAACACCTCTGAATCCTGGTAAGTGCTTAGCTTGAGTGTTTGTGTGTCTGTATGTTCATAATGATCTTTCCAGAACTCAAATTCTCTCTCTTCCAAATTTGTCTCTCTACTCAACGTTTACCTGATTGCTTTAGTTTGACATGTTAATAACTCCTGTTTGTGTTACAGTCCAACTGCAGCTCTCAGACATCATCTGGCCGTCATTCAGTGTCTGTGGAGGTGCAGTTACAGAGGCAGGAAGCCAGAGATGCTTTCACACATGCTCAGAGACAGTACAGCTCTCTGCCACGGTACGTGTGTTTGTGAAATATAATGCAGTGGTGCTGTTATTTATTGAGTAAAACACTTAAACTATCTCATCAAATTCAAATTCAAATAAAACGTTTTTCGGCTTGTAGTTTGTCTATTTACTATGATTTTCAAAAGTTTTGAGGTCAGTAAGATTTTATTTTAAGAAATGCATTAAATTGATTCAAAGTGGCATTAAAGACATTCGCTACAAAAATTCCTATTTCAAATAGATTCTGTTGTTTTCATGAAAGAATACAAAAAAAAATTGTATCACTGTTTCAATAAAAATATCAAGCAGCATAACTGTTTTTAACACCAATAATAAGAAATGTTTCTTGAGAACCAAATCAGCATATTAGAATGATTTCTGAGGGATCATGTGACTCAATGAAGCGCTTAGTTTTAAAACTAAAACCTTTAAAAAAATTGTTACTTGAAATAAAGTGAACATTAACTAAAAGAAAAGAAAATATGAAAAAAAAAATGTTTGCTTAATTTGAAGTACTAAAATCACTAAAACTGAAATCATGTGACTCAATGAAGCGCTTAGTTTTAAAACTAAAACCTTTAAAAAAAATTGTTACTTGAAATAAAGTGAACATTAACTAAAATAAAATAAAATATGAAAAAAAAAATGTTTGCTTAATTTGAAGTACTAAAATCACTAAAACTGAAATAAAAATTAATAGAACTACATAGATTTATTATAAAAGAACCAAAAGCTAATACAAATGACAAAAAACATTTCTAAAACTAACTAAAATTAAATTGAACAATTAAATGCAAATAAAAAAGAAACAATTAAATGCATTTACAGGAATAACTTGCATTTTAAAATATATTAAAATAGAAAGCTGTTATTTTAAATTGTATTAATGTTTCACAATATTTGTATAAATAAAAAGATAATTTTTACTGTATTTTGATCAAATGAATGCAGTCATAGTGAGCATAAGAGACTTCTTTCGAAAATAATGAAAAAAAAAAACTTTTGAATAGTAGTGTATATTTTAATATTAGGATAAAATAATTCAGTTTGAACAACTTTTCTCTTTAAGCAAAATAGGGAAAAAATAAATGAGTAAATAAATAAAATTTCATCCAATAAAATTCCTCTTCTTAATAAATAAAGGAATTGGCTGGATTTGATCCATTTTGAAAGCTGACAAGTGTGGTTTTGATGGACTGTGATGTAAACTAGAAGATACTGTCAAAAAATAAAAATCTATGTCCCGGCCCTACTTCCTGTTTCAGTAGGAATAAACTATTAATGTCTTTAAGAACATGTGCACACACAGCCTCTCACCTTGCCCATTTCTCCCTGTGTGTAGCCACCCTCGTAAGACGCCCACCCCGGCCTCAGAGAGCGAGTGGGAGAGGAAGTGTCCGGCCGGAGACGGTTTCCAGGCAGCTAAAGACAGCGGCCGTTACTCCAGCTACCAGGGACCTCGTGCTGTCCCGCGCACCGTTCCTCGTCCTGGCTGCAGGAATGGCCTCTCCGCTCCCCCAGGATCCAGCGCTTCCTCAGTGGGTGGTGGCTACAATGCACGTGTCCTCCTGGAGGCCCAGGAGCTCCTGCGACAGGAACAGAGACGCAGGGAACAGGAAATGAAAGGAAGAGCCCCGTCAATTCGATTGGACTACGAATCCCAGGATTCCAAAGGACCCCACAGACAGGACGTCCCACCTTCCCCTTCGCAGGTTGTCCGGCTCAGCCGCATACACACACCTGAGAAAACACGCCCGTTTTTGTCATGAGATAAAAGAAGCAAAAGATTTTTCAAAGAGGCAAAAGGCTCACAGATACAAATGTTTATTTGTGTGCAAGTTGTACACAGACTCCCAGAGTGCCTTTTCTTTGAGGTCACAGTGGTCCCGCCAAATCTGACAGCTCATTGGTGCATCCAGAGGCAAGAAGTCTCTTGATTCGCTGTGAAGACCTTCAAGCTCTGACAATCAGCCGGACACTGACCTGTTCCTCTGTAGAACCACGTAGAACTCATTCAAAATGAGCAGTTTCCTGCTTTTCACAGGTTTTGATGAAGTTTTGTGAAGTAGAGCTTTTTTTTTACTAAGATTTATCAGATGAATTCTTACACATCAGGTAAAATTGTCAGTTGAACGTGTATTTGATGTCGTAGTAAGGGGGGGGAAAAAGTGGGACTGAGTACAGGTGGCCCAGCAAACCTAGCGACGCCACTGGATGTAGTCACATGTTTAAAGAACTTGACAAATCTAGGTACAAAACACAGTCAGAGTGACGGACTCCTGGGAATCCAGCGAAAAGAGAAAATCCCAAAAATGCAATGGAAAGGAAATGGGGTCACAGATAGCAGGTCATTAATTGATGCTCCTCATTAAATTTTCAGAGCTCTTTCACACACAGACACAGAACCCACGACCCACTGCTGCCTGCCAGGTGTGTGTGTGTGTGTGTGTGTGTGTGTGAGTTCCTGTCTCCCAGATGACCCACACTGAATTTTTCATCTCACACACCAGCTGCCCCTGTATTGACAGGCCACAGCACTGTGTGAAAGTTCAGACAAAACTATTCTCTTAAACATGCATAAATGCACACACACAGGCTGTGTTTGGAATACCACACTAGCACTACTACATCTGTCTATCTCTCTAGATATCTACATCTACTAAATATGTAAAAATATAAAATATGTATAGCTTGGAAATAATGAAGTGTGTATCTTTTTTTCTCCATGTGTGATTATACACATGTAGGGAGAGTGTGAGCTTAAAAAGAATTATGTATGTATAATATAATGAGGGAGCAAGAGAGAGTGAGCTTAAAATAGTTATATATTTGAAGAGTTCAGATGCAAAAGCCTCTAAGTGCCATCTGAAATTTTCGTCTAAAATGACCATTTTTATAAATCTCCTATATTTATGTTCAGTTCTTTCACTTTAATGGCATAGAAAAGGACCTATACATTGCCATTAATGTAAAATGTCTGAACCTAAGCATAGGAGCCTGATAAAAATGCTAATTTTAGAAGAAAATTTCAGACTCTTAGAGGCTTTTGCATCTGAACTCTTCATTTATTAATTAAAAAATTAAATTATATACATACATACATACATACATACATACATACATGCATATAGAATGTTTAATATATGTGACCCTAGACCACAAAACCAATCTTAAGTAGCAATAGCCAAAAATACATTGTATGGGTCAAAATTATCGATTTTTCTTTTATGCCAAAAATCATTAGGCTTTTAAGTAAAGATCATGTTCCATGAAGATATTTTGTAATGTTCCTACAGTAAATATATATAAACTTAATCTTTGATTAGTAATATTATGCATTGCTAAGAACTTCATTTGGACAACTTAAAAGGCGATTTTCTCAATATATATATATATTTTTTTTTTTTTTTTGCACCCTCAGATTCCAGATTTTCAAATAGTTGTATCTAATTTTTCTCCCTATCATAACAAGCCATACATCAATGGAAAGCTTATTTATTCAGCTTTCAGATGATGTATAAATCTCAATTTCGAAAAATT